AATGCCCCTCTCACAGTGAAAGTCGTATCGATTAATGCCAAGGGGCTCAACGTTCCAGAAAAGAGGTCTCAATTCCTTCGAGCATTCTCACACCACAAAGCTCAAATAGTGCTACTTCAGGAAACACATTTTAGGTCAGACGCCATACCCAAACTAAGCAATCACAAGTTTCCTATAGCCTATCACTCCACCTCGGCTACCTCCAAAGCTAAAGGGGTATCCATTATTGTCTCGGCTCACCTTGACCTTCAAATCACTGACCAACTACTTGGCTCGGAAGGCCGGTACATTTTTCTTAAAGGCAGGCTACATAACACCCCAATTACCATCGCTAACCTCTACAGTCCTAACGCTGGCCAAGCCCAATTATTTCGCAAAGCGTGCTCATTGCTGCAGGACTTTGCCGAGGGGAAACTTATTCTAGGGGGGGACTTCAACGTACCGTTGAATCCTCTCCTAGACTCCTCCAATGGCAAATCTTCGGTACCCTTTCGTAGCTTACGCACAATCAAAAGACTACTGACGTCTCTTAACCTTCATGATACCTGGAGATTCCTCCACCCCACGGTGAAAGACTTGACCTTCTTCTCCCATACACATTCTAGCTACTCCAGACTGGATTACCTCTTCCTCTCTCAAAGAGACTTGCCCAATCTGGTAAAGGCTACAATTGAACCAATGATCCTTTCCGACCATGCTCCCATCTCCATGACCATCACATTCCCTATATACTCCTCACGCTCTCACGTGTGGAGATTGAATCCTTCTACGTTGGGAGAACCTAACCACATATCCTCGATACAAGGTAAGCTCTAAGAATTTTTTTCCCTAAACAGCGGCACTTGTTTTTCCCCACTGATGTGGGAAGCACACAAAAGTGTAATTAGAGGGGAATTCATTCGTATCCAAGCCCTCCTCCACAAACGGAATAAAGCTCGCAGCACCGCTTTACTTGCTCGTATAGCCACCTTGGAGGAACTACACAAAAGATCCCTGGCACAATCCCATCTGTCGTAACTCTCCCAAGCCCGCAATGACCTTCTTCAACTGATCCACGAGAACACCAAAAAGGCCTTTATATCCCGTAGCAAAATATACTATGAGCACAGTAACAAAGCGGGGAAGTTCCTAGCGAGATCCCTGAAATGCCAAAAGGCGACTCGCACGGTCTCACAAATAGTAGATACCTCGGGAGCTAAACATTTAGATACGCCTCAGATAGCATCCCAGTTTCGGTCCTTTTATGAACAACTTTACGGCATTGCTGCTCAACGTCCCTCCAATCCTGCCCAAAACGCCCGCTCTGAACTAATAAATTCCTTCCTATCAGAACACAGCCCCCCCTCCCCTGAGTGACGCATCTAGAACAGACTTGGAAGCCCCCTTCACAGCCCAAGAAGTCCAAACTCCGATTTCCCAGCTGAAACCCGGAAAAAGCACTGGACCCGACGGTTTTACGTCACACTATTACAAAACATTTTCGGAACACCTTATCCCTCACTTCCTATCTGCTTTCGACCTGAATCCCAGACAGCCGCATGACTTGGTTCATCTGCTGGAAGCCCATGTTGTCGTGTTACCAAAACCAGGAAAGGACGAGTCCCTATGCGCAAGCTATCGCCCCATCTCTTTGCTCAATATCGACGTTAAGCTACATGCTAAAATACTCGCCAACCGCTTAGCTTCCCTTCTTCCAGACATAATAGACGGCGATCAGGTGGGCTTTATTCCGGGGCGGGAAGCACGCTATAATACTACGAAAGCCATAGGCCTTCACCATTGGATCACAAGCAGGGGCCACGCAGGCTTCTTCCTCTCCACAGATGCTGAGAAAGCATTCGATAGGGTGGCGTGGGATTACCTTTTCGCCTCCTTGACTCATCTCGGCTTGGGCCCTCGTATGTTGGACCGCATAGCCCTATTATACCACAGACCGACCGCAAAGATCCGGGTGAACGGCACATTGTCAGAGGCCTTCCCCATTTTCAATGGCACACGGCAGGGATGCCCCCTATCCCCACTGCTATTCGTGTTGGCATTGGAGCCCTTCCTTCGGAAGATACGCTCTGACCCCAACATCCACGGATTTCATACGTCCTACAAAGAATTTAAAGTGGCCGCATTTGCGGACGATTTGCTATTTTTCTTGACGCAGCCGAGAATATCACTCCCCAACCTACTAAACGCACTTCAGGAATTCGCATCAATCTCGTTCTTTAAAATCAATCTATCAAAATCAGCCGCATTGAATGTATCCCTTCCAGATGATCTGGTCCACTTCTGCAAATTACATTTTCCCTTCCGCTGGGCAGATACTTCCATTACCTATCTGGGCATCGAACTTCCCACTGACTTAAAGAAGCTATACTCCCTTAATTTTGCCACTCAATTATCCCGATTACGGATGGATATGAGAGAATGGAACAAGGGGTTATACTCCTGGTTTGGTCGTGCGGCAGTCCTTAAAATGACCGCCATACCACGATTGCTGTACATGTTCCAGACTGTGCCCATCGCTCTCCCCAAAGCCTTCTTCTCCTCAGTCAACGCTCTTTTTCGCACTTTTCTATGGGAAGGTAGATCACCGCGAATCGGATTCTCAACTTTAACCCGTTCGAAATCCTCCGGGGGTATAGGGCTCCCTCATGTACAGAATTACTATCGGGCCTGCCATCTCACACGTATCATAGACTGGGCTAGGCATGGCCAATATAAAGAGTGGGTTCAGATTGAGCAGGTCCAATCGGGATCACCAATTGGCTCTTGGCCCTGGCTTCAGCGCTCCACACTCCCGACCCAAGTGCTAACTCACCCTACGATAGGCAACTCTTTACGCCTCTTTGACACCATGTGTAGGACCGCAGACGTTTCATCAACCCTGGGGCCTCTTACCCCGGTCCGTATGAACCCCGCTTTCCCCCCAGGCCTCCACTCCTCATTCCTACACCCTTGGTCCCCAGAAGCCAACCCGACCGCGAAAATGTTCTTTGACGGCCAAGGGGAGTTTCGGTCGTTGGCCGACTTAAATTCTGACACTTCCAACGGGTCTCTACCATTATGGACGTATATGCAACTTCGTCATTTCCTCAACGACAGACACACTGAGCAACATTTCACACGCTCCCTTACCGCCCTTGAGCGGCTCTGCACGTCACCGGGAAGGGCTACTCATACAGTGTCGGAGACATACTCCTTACTGTCGAACTCCTCCGCAATGCCACTCACACCCTCTACTAAGGCATGGACAAAAGATTTATCTACCGACTTCACCACACAAGAGTGGGAGAGGATGGACGTACTCTTGCTGAAAGGCTCCTTGAATGTACAGATCCAGGAAACTAATTACAAGCTGAGGTCCAGGTGGTACAAAACTCCCGAGCTACTGCACCGCATCTTCCCCAACACGCCTAACACCTGCTGGCGATGCTCCCAAGATGTTGGTACGATCCTCCACATTTGGTGGTCGTGCTCCCTCATCTCACCCTTCTGGTCAGACATACACTCGCTCATAAGGAATATAACAGGTGTCACACTAGAATTCACGGCAGGTTCTCTCCTCCTGTTCCACTTTAACTCCCCACACCATATTACCAAACATTCCCTGGTAATACACCTACTGAATGCAGCCAAAACCGTGATCCCCAGACACTGCAAGTCGACACATCCACCGACAATCAGGGAATGGCTAGCACGGGTTGACACTGTGGCAAACATGGAAGAACTAATCGCTTACGATAGAGACACCACACCTCAATATCTGAAAACTTGGACAGCCTGGCATCTGTTCAAGGGCACAGACTCTTATGTTACCCTCATTCCCGCATGGATATCACTCCATTGAAATCAATTGGGCTGCGTGGCAATCACTGCCTGCATTGTGCAGGACCGCGCGATCCTGGATCGCGGAGGTCTGCACCGGGCCTTAGAGGTGTCACTGAGGAATGAACTAGGAACAGAAGGATCCCTAGAGTTAAAATTAAGCTTATCATATAAAGGAGTAAGTAAACATGTGAAGCAACTGTACATGTACATTTCAAGAAAAGAAAACAGGCAATTAATGAATGGAATATCAATAAACAGGTAACAAGAACAGACCAAACACAAGGTATGGACATTATAACATAAAAAGATAAAAATTTGTGTGTACTTAGCACACTAATAGCCGGGGTGTATGAAAATACACAGAAAAAATAGGTATGGCACCATCGAGTGGAGTAAAATTGAAAATGTATGACTCTAGAAATAACTTGAAATCAAAGTTGAGATATGATCAGTGTGTAGACCAGTCCTAATGGCACTCATTCTGGTGTGGTGCATCTAGCCTGAGTAGGGGGTAGTGAGACAGAGATTGGATCATTTTAATGCCAGACACAGGCATCAGAGCAGGCATTACAGTGTGTTGATAGGAAATCAGCAATTTAGTAGGGAATCCTAATTTTTAAGGTAACTTGTTATCACGTAGGGCTTTGGTTATAACGGCAAAGCCCTTTATTTTCTTTGCAGTAGCAGCTGAAATGTCCGTGAATAGTGAGATATGCGAGTATGTAGCAAAAAGCGTTTGACCTACCCCCCAAGGAAAAAAAAACACCTTTTTTTGGTGCGGAGTGGAAAAAAGGATTTCAATTCTTCCAGGGCACTAGCAAAAAAAGTGACACATGCTGGTAGAATAAAGGGTTATCCTGGACTGGCATACATTTTTTTCTGCCAGTGTCTAATCCACCTGTATGTGGTAGTATAAACTAACAGATGAGTTCCTGTGTCCCTCAATGGTCGGGAAAGAAATATGGCTTTCTACATTCACTTTGTGTTCAGGAACCAAGACATGCTTGTTTTTAAATCTAAAAGAGGAAATGTCAAGGACTGTTTTAATAATTGGTAGTAATCCCTTCCAATTTATATTAAGTACACAAAACATTCAAAGGGATTAAGGTAGCAGTCACTTATGCTATTACTGCCTTCAAAAGTAAATATCCTTATAACACAATATCACAGGTACTTACAAATAATTTCATCTTGTAAATGTACTTGCTTCTTCCACTGGAATCTTTCACTTCTTTACTGAAGACAAGAGACATTTCAAAAAGAAACAAATGTCTTTCACGCCCTTTCCGTATCAAGGTTTTAGGATCCCATACTTGGAAGGATTCTTGTAGAATCAATTCTCCCTGAGTTTCAATGTTCTCATCAAATCCTGCAATTAAAAGTAAAATATTGATATGTAGTAAAAATAAAAAAAATGGAGGTACATATGCAGTATACACATTTGTTAATCCTTTGGCAGGTAAAGCAGTTCCCACTGTACAGTATTTATTTACTGTGTATATGGTTGATTGTCTTGAGCAAACTTTACCCAGTTACTAAAGTAAATTAATTCTATATTCAAATAACCTGCACCACACTCACAATAATACATTGTTCATAAAAAAACAAATCCTCATGTGCAATACATACAAAAAATGGAAATACAAAAGGTTTACAATACTAGATCCTGTGAAAATATTCCACATAAACTGTGTATTAAAATACCACCACAACAGAATATCACAACAGAGTACAACGCTAAGTGGAAATACCCCATATAATGAAAAGCAATAATTCAAACCATCATCGATTGCAATAGTTAAACATTCATCTCTTCGCACCAACATGTTAATGAATGTTGTAAAAAGTCCACACATTAAACTTCCTCCCAAATGTGTAACAAACGTTGTGATTATTCACACAGTAGTGCACACAACAGTGTGCACCGAAAACTAGAGGTGCACCGAAATAGAAATTTAAAAACCGAAATGAAACCGAAATTAAAAAAATTGTCAGGCCAAAACCGAAAATGTTTTTATTTCAATTTTTTTAATATTTTATTTTTTATAAACTTTTAAAACATTTTTAGATTTATTAATTCATTTTTTTACTTTACTTTTAGGGGCTTCGGGGAAATATTAGGGGTCTAAACAGACCCCTGATATTTCCCTTTTAAAATAGAAAAAGAGATTGTGGACACAAAGTCCTAAATCTCTTTTTCTGTAACACCTGTTATGAATGAACAGGAATCCTCTATGAGTGTTCCTGTTCATTGATAACTTGAGAACAGAGTATGTTTACTATAACTACAACTATGAATGAACAGGAGGGGATGTAGATTACTCCCATTCATTCATAATTGAGGATATAGTCAACATACTCTGCCCTCAATTATCTACAAACACTCAGCGATCACTGATCGCTGAGTGTTTGCTCTCGCTCTCCTCTCTGACACGCTGTCGCATGAGGCTGAGAGCGCGGTGCAGGGAGGCTGCTCAGCCTCATTTGACAGCGCGGGCTGTCTCCGCCCCCGTCCGCTTTGCCGGACTGTGATAGGCGGCTGAGCGGTGTGGGAGGAGAGACACCATCCGTTCACAGCGCTCTCCTGGCTGTCACTTTCTCTCCTCCCCGCTCCTCAGTGGGGAGGAAATAAACCTGGGATGCACTGATGTATCGGCAGGAAAATTGTGTTTTAGACATAATGTCGCATAGACATAATCTGCAGGCCTGCCTCCTATCTATAGACACTGACAAGGTCTTTGAGAGGGTCTAATCTTACAAAAATAATGTCACTCTACTCCTCTCCAACTGCGAAAGTGTAAGTGAATGGTTCTCACTCCGAGTCACTCTCTTTTTTAAATGGAACGAGACAGGTTTGCCCCCTAACCCCTCTTCTGTGTGTGATAGTCATGGAACATTTGGCACAGGCTATTTGTCCCAACCCTGATAAATGTGGCATTCAAACCCCTTCTTTTCACCATACAATGTCTTTATATGCTGATGAGCTGCTCCTCTACATGCAACATCCTCATATTAGTATACCCTCTTTGTGTCTAGAGTTTCAATGGTTTGGACTGCACAGTAATTTTAAGGTTAACCTGTCCAAATCAGAAGCACCGTTTCTTTCTTTACCATCTCCTATTCTTGCTTCACTAAAATGTAATTTTCCCTTTGAGTTAAACTCTAAATCCATCATATAACTCGGTACTTCCATTCCTTCTCAATTGTCAAATCTCAGGCTCTCCTCCATTTGCAAAGACCTAGAATCCTATGGTTCCCTTTCTATCTCTTGGTTTGGTAAAATTAACATATTAAGATGGAAGTTCTCCCTAAATTACTTAACATTTTGCAAACCATACCCATTAACCCTCAAACAATTTTTCAGCACCCTCCATTCAATAGCTATTAGATTTATTTGGAATGGTTGCCTACCCCAAGTTTAAGTTACATGATGCTTTGTTGACACAGATCTAAAGGAGGTATGGGCATACCAGACTTTGAACTTTACCACATTGCTGCTGATTAGGCTTGTATTTTTGGTTGGTTCTCTCGACCCTTTCTAAAGGCAGCTGCCATGGTAGAACAAGACCTCTGCCCTATTGATCTGTGTGCTGTTTTTTGGTAGAACCCCATTTACATTTTCTCTCCTCACAAAATCTGTGTTGTGTGTCTGGCGCTCAGCTGGTGCTCGTTATAACCTCTCTACTACTCCTATCCCTCCGACTCCTTTATTTATCCTTTATAACCCTTCCCTCCTCAGGGGGTTACGCTTACAAGAACTGGCCCCTAGCAAAGGATTTTTTCCATCCATCCAGTGGCACATTTGTCACGCCTGCTCACTCTCTGTCCACTAGACAGGCTCATTGGCTTTCAGACTACCAACTTTCTCTCTTCTGTAAATCTTTACATAGTACTAATCTTATACACAGAGATGTGACTCCTTTTGAAAAAATGCTTACCTTTTCGGAACCACCACGATGCATGTTATCGTTGCTTTATGGGATGCTTCAGTCTAGGCACCGTGTCCAGTTACCCAAATTCACACTTGCTTGGCAAGATGTCTTGTGCCACACGTCTGAATCTGATTGGGGTACCATTTTATATTTTACAAAAAAATCCCCCATCTCAGGAAAAAAATTACAATTCCCTCGAGATGGTATTGTGATCTGGTCTCCGAGTCATATTTTTCCGGGTACTCGTTTGTTTGTTGGCGATGTGGGGAGGTGAGAGGTACCTACTTCCACATTTGGTGGGGATGCCCCATGATCTCGCAGTTCTGGTCAAGTATTTTTGATACTTACAATAAGCTTTATGGGGATTCCTTAACACCATCTGCTGAAGTTGCACTGTTGTCCCTCCTGCCAGGATCTAGGAAATCTCAAAGGCAAGTTTCTTATCTGCTGCTCGTCAGGCTATCCCTGCATTTTTTAAAACATCTACTACCCCTCCATTATCTATGTGGGTCAGCATTGTTAATGACATTACGAGGATGGAAGAACTCCTTGCCACTGACACTGATACTCTTGATTGTTTTAATCTCCAATGGTCTATATGGATTCACTTTTTGGACTCCAATGAGTTACAAAGTTCCCTGTAGTGCAGTCATTTTTGTTCATTACTTTCTTTCCTTGTTGTTTTACTGTTATTTTGACTCCTTTCTAATTTCTCTATTTCTTTTTCCATTTTTCTTTTTATTTACTTAGTTGTGGTTATTGCTATATGTGAGCTCAATGTTTATTTTTCATTTAAATTATGTTTGGAACATCCATCATATTGAGTCACTCATGTTTTATTCTGTGACTTATGTTATTGTTCTCACTTTATATTTCTATACATCTGATTTAAGTATAAATAAATGGTCTAAAAACACATTTTTACTTTATCCAATCAATGCAATATATTCCAAACCATTCAGAGAAAAATATAGATCACATATAGTGTAGTATATCAGAAAACAACACTTTATCAAGAACAATTAAAAACACTTACAAGAAAATTCAGGACAAAACAATCATCTCCAATCCTGCTGGCATCACATAATCACATCCAATATCCACACTGTGTTTGCTGCTTCCTACGGAGTGACCTCAGCATGTGCCCGCCCCTTCCTACACGTTTTGTCATCAAGAATTTGTCAAGGAGGGTGAACATGCTGAGGTTACGGTATACCCTTCTTATGTCTCATGTGCCAACATGCAGTATACAAAAAGCCCACTAAAGGCCTCCATATTACAGTATATCAAACAGATACACAGACATTGCCTAATATATGTGTTCTTGTTCTCTGTCTCTCTCTGTGTATATATATATATATACACACTATATTGCCGAAAGTATGGGGACGCCTGCCCTTACACGAACATGAACTTTAATTGCATCCCAGTCTTAGTCCGTACGGTTCAATACTGAGTTGGCCCACCGTTTGCAGCTATAACAGCTTCAACTCATCTGGGAAGGCTGTCCACAAGGTTTAGGAGTGTGTCTATGGGAATGTTTGACCATTCTTCCAGAAGCGCATTTGTGAGGTCAGGTACTGATGTTGGACGAGAAGGCCTGGCTCGCAGTCTCCGCTTTAATTCATCCCAAAGGTGTTCTAACGAGTTAAGGTCAGGACTCTATGCAGGCCAGTCAAGTTCCTCCACCCCAAACTCACTCATCCACGTCCTTATGGACCTTGCTTTGTGCACTGGTGCGCAGTCATGTTGGAACAGTAAGGGGCCATCCCCAAACTGTTCCAAAAAGTTGGGAGCATGAAATTGTCCAAAATGTCTTGGTATGCTGATGCCTTAAGGGTTCCCTTCACTGGAACTAAGTGGCCAAGCCCAACCCCTGAAAAAAAACCCACACCATAATCCTCCCTCCACCGAATTTTACACTTGACACAATGCAGTCAGGCAAGTACCGTTCTCCTGGCAACCGCCAAACCCAGACACGTCCATCGGATTGCCAGACAGAGAAGTGTGATTTGTCACTCCAGAGAACACTTCTCCACTTCTCTAGAGTCCAGTGGCGGTGTGCTTTACACCAACTTCATCAGAAGCTTTACACTTGGTGATGTAAGGCTTGGATGCAGCTGCTAGGCCAAGGAAATCCATTCCAAGAAGCTCTCTACGCACTGTTGTTGTGCCAATCTGAAGGCCACACAAAGTTTGGAGGTCTGTAGCTATTGACTCTGCAGACAGTTGGGAAGTTTTTTTTTCTTCAATAAAGGCTTATTCATATTTTTCACAATAGACAATCAAAGTAATGATCAGCAAGGTTACATAAGCTGATCAAGGGCAGGGACAAAAGACAAACAGAAAATAGATCATCAACATTTGTAAAGTAAACGTCAATACTACACCTTATGGTGTCGGTATATCATGACAGTACACACAGCAAACATATAGT